CCCCCCCCCCCCCCCCCCCAAAAAAAAACCGGCTCGGAATTCGCCCACGATTTCCCCCCCCCCCCTTGCGTGTCCATTCACGCCGTACCGAATCGAGCGCGGAGATAGTGAATCCGTCGGAAGCGACCGCTTCGCTCCGCTCTGCGGCCGCCCTAATGAGACCTCGGAAACCGCCGTCTCCCCACACAATAGCGTCATCCGGCACAAATTAAATCGGGGACGACCTATCCATCCTCCACGTAAGCCCCCTCCGAGTAAGCCCCCTCCGCGTAAGCGCCCTCCAGTCGCCGTAAGTGTGGGATCGATGGAATGTCCCCGATTAACCGATCGGTTAACCCCGATTAACCCTACGAAAAAGTGAGATCCGGTCCCCGGCGATGGGAATCCCGACGATCATCGCGCAAGTAATTGCTGCTTTCGGCCTCCGTTCGACCTCCCGGCTGGCCACAGGGGGCCAAGGGAGCCGGGAAAGAAGCGGTCGCCCGCCTCCCTCAAGCCCTCGCTCTTGGATTCCCCAAAGCCAACAGCAGAGACACGCCACGATGCCTCTCTCCCCTCTGCAAGCCAGTTCCTCGGTGGGAACGTCCCTGGCATTCGTTCTCGACTCGATCGCCACTCTCACCGCGACATCATTCCGCCCTTCGACTCCCGTGGGTCTCTCGGGATGCCCGTCGGCAGAGCCCTCGCACCGACCTGGATACACGAGGAAGTCCCCGCCGAACTTGGCCCCGTCGGTGAGGTAGCAGCCGCCCTCCCAGAGGTGCCGGAACACCCGGTACCCCCGCTCCTCCGCCTCCGTCGAGGGGAAGGTCCACTCGCTCGCCGCGGCGTCGCCGTCCGACACCCAGGGATCGCCTGCAAGCGTAAACGTCAGTTCGCCGCGGGAAGGAGGCGGGGAGGCGGGGAGGAGGATGGCGACCTTTGAAGCCCTGCACGAGCGCCGTCCGCCGCGGGATCAGCTGGATCTTGTCCAGCTCCGCCTGGATGCACGCCTCCTCGTCCAGGTCCTCCTCGACCTCGTCCTCCTCGCCTCCTCCCCGCCTGCTCCTCCGCTCCTCGAGCTTCTTCCGCTTCCCCTCGATGATCTTCTCCGCGTTCTGCTCGATCTCCTTCCTCCGCTCCTCGTGCAGGTACCTCGCCTGCTCCCAGTAGGCGTCGCCTCTCAGCCGCTCCAGCCTCTCCCTCGTCTCCGCGCTCGGGCTCTCCTTCAGAGACGGGTACCGCACGGGGACGGCGACGCCCTTCTCCAGCAGCAGCGTCATCTCCTCGTTGCTCAGCTTCATCGGGACGCTCTTGACGGCGTTCTGGAAGGGCCGGGCCGGGTACGATCCGAGGAGCTCCCCGACGATTCGCCACTCCGCTCGCAAGTATGAAGCATCTAAAATGCGGCACGAATTCGCTTTGTATTTTGCGAACGCGAGAGGACCTGATGACTTCCATCGCGGTTGGAGCTCTTTTTCAATTGGGCCTCCCCCCTTTTCCTCTTCGAGATGGAAACAGAAAGATGAAGCGTGCAAGGTTGGAGTCCTTTAAGAATTGCTCTTTCATGCACGTCGGAAGAGCTACAACCGAAGCCTGAACTGACAACAGTGCCACTCAAATAAAAAACAAATAAAAAATTCAGGAGGGGCAAAAAAAAAAGAAGCACCAAAATGTACAAAAACAGTTGATGGGTTTTGTAAAATCAGAGCTGCAGTTCGGCCCACACAGAGCTTGGGCCATTTCGAGAAAAACCTTGCATCAAAGGGTCTCACCTTCTGGATCCCATACGAGAGGCGTCCCGCTCACCACCTCGACCCTCACCGTCTTGACGACTCCTCTTCCGCCTGGCATGGCTTCAGTGCCGCCTGGCATGGCTTCAGCGCCGCCTGGCATGGCTTCAGTGCCGCCTGGCATGGCTTCAGCGCCGCCTGGCATGGCTTCAGCGCCGCCTGGCATGGCTTCAGTGCCGCCTGGGATGGCCCGAGCTGTCCGGGGTCCTCTGGCCTCTTTTAGGGATCCGACCTGCGAGCAGGAGGAAAAGCAGGTGAGCAAGTCTTCCTTCTGCGGGAACAGGTGGATCAAATCATCCACGATCTGTTCTGAAAATTTCAATGCTTTGTAAAAGTTCTTTCCTGGCCAAATAGAATGCCTTTCACGATCCGTCCTTTTCTTTTAGTATCATCTGATCAAATGGCAATTGGAAAGGCAGGAGGAGGAAAAGAACCCAAAACACTATTTACAGCATTACTCGCTTCGCCTTTAAGGCATTATGCCCATCATCAATAAAAAAAAAGACAGGCATTAGACGATAGGGTTCCACGAGACTGCCCGCTTTAACACTAATAGCATTGAGATGATTTTTGGCACGAGGATTTTCTCCCAGCGGGACCTGAGCCCAATCAGCTTCTCTCATCTTGGGCGGAAACAAGGTCACACGAGATCGACTATCTTTGTCGACGATCGACTATCTTTGTCGACGTGCATGAAGGATTTTTGGATTTGGAATTTACAATGATTCATGATTTGGAACTAAAAGGTGCAAGAGATCCTCATGCCTAAAATTAGGTTGACCCAATTCATCCATTGGCAATGAAAAAAAAAGCGATTGCTTAACAATGCTTAATTTAATAACACTTAACATTGTTGGTAACAATGCAGTCCCCACACCAAGTGCAAGTATAGCATGGAAGCCCTTCATAAAACTTCCAGGTGGAGCATCACAATTACTTCCAAAACTTATCTGAAGAAATCCCACAGTCAGAATGGTTTTTAATTTCTATTTAATATTTAATTCTAACATTTCCTTGAATGCACATGAATGTAATGAATCCTGTCTAAAATGGAGAGAGCATGCAAATGTCCAGGATAAGATGTGTTTCTACCTCTTCCAGGCTTTACTGCATTCGAGACTGGAAATTTTTGGCTTGTACACACGAGGAAAGGTTTGCTCAACCTTTTTCCAGTGGTTTTTTCACCAAAGAGAGAAAAAAGCGACAAAGAGAAAGATGAGTTGGGAGTGATGGCGAGAATAACTGTTGCTTCATGTCAGGGACATCTTTTTCGGTACCTTTTGCCGAAGAGTTAAACGAAGCTAACGGTGACTCGGAGTTGTGACTGCACTGCACCAAATTTCCTCTTGCATCACGAGATTTTGTCCAGTCGTATTGTTCCTCTACGCGATCTGAAACCATGAAGCTACGTTCGTGTCGGATCGTAACACAGAAGTTTGAAGTCGGACGAGCGGGAACTCTGAATTTAAATCTGAATTAAGTAAATCTGAATTTTTGTACCTCTTCCCTTCGGCAACGAAGTCTATTTTGCCGTGATGCAAGCCTTCTCCAAGGCAGGGGGGTCCTGCTCGGCAATAATGAGGGCATTAAAGAGGCTGGTAGACCAAATAAGGACTGAAAAAGAAATGAAGGTCAATCCCATACATGTCAACTGCTCACTGCTGGTGTGCAAGGACCAAGGTCAGATTTGGGTCCTTTATTTTTTGTGGTGTTTCCAGCTCTTGTGAACATATCAATTTTGGATTCCTGCAAACAAAAAAAAAAGCATGAGACATTGGTCAATGAATGAGTGAAGCAGGGAGCCTTCAAATGCAAACCAAAAGAAGAAAAACTGCCCCTTGGGATTCTGTTGTCAGCAGACATCAATCATCTCAGTGCTACCATAATCTCCATGCTATAAGTACAACACAATTGTCCAGCAAGTATCAGTTTTGACAAATTAGTCAGCTTGACTCAAGAACAAATACAGGACTCATGACAATATTGACTTTATTCATAACCTAGGGAATTTTACAAGGGAACTCATAGATTCAAAATTGCTACTGCCAGACGAAAGTGCGTGAAGTCCATTCTATCGGCTAGCCCATTCTTGCTTCTCCTGCTTCTCACGCACCACTTCGTTTAAGTAGGGCTGCAAGTATCGCACATCCTGTCGGAAAGAAAAAGCCAAATCTACAGTCCACTTCGCCGCCTAGATTGCACTATGAGTTCTTATTCATTCACAGGGAAAAGTCTGGTGAAACATAGGCATACACATTCCAGCTTCTACCCGGGCAGACCCCTTTACCATCATTTGAAACATTACGAAGACGATGTGGCGATGAGATCTTCAAGATGACATTAATACATTCTCTGCCATGTACAGCTTTCATGCTGTCTTCATAATAGTTACTTATTTCTTTGAGAGATATCATTTGAATGTCTTGCAACCGACAAGGGTCGCATATAAGATACCACACCATTAAGCATTACTGAAGGAATGCTGAAAATTTCATTCATTAAATCCCTAACAGTGAATGTGTCAGAGATACAATGCTGTCCATCAGTTCACAAGTACCGTATGCCCCACCATTCGTGCAAGTCCATCAATACACATGAGACATAGAGATCCACATTGAGAGAAGCTACTTACAAGATTTCAAAACAATCATGCAGAAGCATGGCAGAAACAGGGCCTGTGATTGAAAAACAGTCAATTTCGAGTCCAAGTGGATGAAACATCATACTGAGACTCACTTCCTCATACTTAGTCCACTGGTCCTTCGGGAGGATATCCTTCCGGAGGTTCAAATGCAGCGCACGAGAGATCCTCCATGCACGCTCATCCTGAAGGTACAGTGGGAGACGACTGATGGCCTCCTTCACTTCTGCCGTCTCGTACAAGCAGTCGTCGTATCTCAGCCCTGTCCACCAATAGAAAGAGTCATTTACATGACCAGTGCCCATAAGATCCAGTGTTGTCTGAAGAAGGTTATGTACTTATGCAAAAGACAGTGGATTTTGAGCATTTAAGCTTATGATATGAATGGAATTTGAGTGTGTATAAATGCTGAAGTAGAGTTGAAGACCTTTGCTGCTTAATAATTTCATAACCATATTGAGGTTTCTCTCACTCAAAGCATTACTGCTCAAGCAGTCAATCTAACTCCTCCTATGATGCTCACAGTATTCAGGGGGACCCATGGAGTTTGCTAATCAAGCCTGACTTCTTCACTTCAATAACTCACATTTCATTTTTTTATTTTTTGGTTCAACACATGATCATAGATGCACGGTAAACGTACCATACTTTCGGAAGCCTGAAGTATTATAGGCAAATCTCTTCAGCCACCTAGTCATCTCACCTGTATAAGAACAAGACACTCAAGCAATCAACAGGGCAAGAAGGTGATGTTACAATACTATGTCTGAATTTGGTGATTAAAAAAAATACAGGGTATGGCAAAAGAAAATGATGAAAGATTTTAAATTAATAAAATCAATACATACCTGCTTTTACTGTAACTACTTTTAAACACTTAACTTGCACTCTGTTGCTGACTGATTTTTTCCCAACAGGCCTTTGAAATGCCATCCTAATTGGTTGTGCTGAAGCATGTCTATAAGCAATTGCTCAAAAGAAATTAGCTAGCCCCTTCTTGGTGACCAGGCTCTGCTTGCTTTGTTCTCTGACAAACCAAGTGAGGATCTGAGTAAACTTGGAGCAAACTCTATACTAAGACTCATTGATTCATCAGTCATTTATGGGGGGGGGGGAAGTATTAAGGCCACTATGATAAAGGATAGCCCAAAAAATGAGTTTCAATAGAACAGAATGAAATATGACCTGGGAAACAAGCAACCACAGTGCAAAGATACTCTCTCCCTTCTCTCCCCTACCAGCATAAGTCTTGTGTCATTTCATTATCTAACTTCTTTTGAATAACTACTTGTGGGTGTGCCTCAACATAATGAACTTAAAAGAAATGTGGAAAATATATATATCTATGCAATATGAACATTTATGAATATATAGTTCCAGTGGAAGCAGAGATACATAGGCTCACAAATAATGGTACTTTTTGTCAAACCTAGTAGAACTGGACTAAATCACCAGTGAGATCTACAATAAGCAGGGAAAGAAAAGGAAGTGGAAAATACAAAAAGTAAGGATTCATGGTGATACATTATTCCGTATAAAAGAAAAAAACAAAAGAAAAGAAAGGATAAGATTGTTACTTTCCATGGCTCCTTAGGAGCAGGAGCTTTAGGATAGAAGTAAATGTAGAAATAAGTACATCAACAACCTCTTCCCTTTCATTCAATGAAAGTATTTGATGAAGAACATCACAATAAAAGTTGAAATTTCATTTCCTTTCTCACAGGGGAGCTAAGACATGTCACCATAAATCCACAAAATCACCAATGTATCCAGGCAATCACACAAACATCAAACCTCACAAATTTTCCAAATTTACCACCTCCCATACACAATATTTAAGGAGCATTGGGCAGAAGAGCCAGTGAATAAAAACGAACCTCAAATTATATCCCCTTGGTACTGCATGGGGATTTGAAAGACAAACAGGAGAAAGAAAAACCCACACTTACCTAAGAACCCTGCCTGCCTGGCTACACTCATGATATATGGCCTGGAAAGGAATATTGTAACAGATGCCTTTCAAAACCAATGAAAATAGTACACTATAAACATATGAAAAGAAATGCATCAAATTAATTCAACAGACTTTAATCTGACCTTATAACCTCTAGGCAATGACCTTAATTTATCAAATGGTCTCCAGGATGGAAAATTTTGGATCCTCTGTTGCAGGCATTTCATGGTAGCCTTTCCTTGAGATACCACTCAAGGTAGAGGATGAAATTGGGTCAGTAGGTCTCTTTGCTCATTATTTCCAAGCTTTAAAAATCCCTCACCACTTATGAGTAGTGTATGGTGTCAATCACCCTCACATTGAGATCATGAGCTACAATGGCTTAGACCAGCTGATAATGACTGGAATGCACTTTAAGGGTCAGAAAAGGGCCCAGAACAGATGAAGAGAAGAGCCCAACCCCAGCAAGGTTATGGATTCTAACAAGATCAGATCTAACGAGATCAAAAACATTGCTTTTGACTTCAAATTCATGAAGTTAACAAGTTTACTTCCAATCACTAATATCATGCCTGTCATGTAAAATTATACAATCCCATATCTTTGCTTATATATACTTACATATAATTCAGCACAGAAAAATGTGAGTGATTGAGAAACAAAGGGTGAGATGAACCCAGTAACCAATAAGTAAGTAAGGCAACCAATACTGAACGAAGAAGCAAGCCATCAAAAAGGAATCTCTCAGTGCCATACAGGGCCAGTACACATTGCTGAACCTTGATGCAGCAGCTTATGAGATGTGGATGCAAACAAGAATGAATGGAAAACGTCTGAAAATTGCGACCACCAAAACTGCACAAGAAGAAATGCTGGAATGATGGAAAAACACATGGCTTCATTCAGCTCTGGATTATTTTTTGCCACTTCTTTCCATACACATCTTGCTTTGCAAGTTTCCAACTGGTCAATCTTTCCAGTCTTTGGCTGGAAAGGTAAGCAAGTCCAAAAGAAACAGCCAGTAATGACATATTGGCATCATTTAAAGGGCATCACATTCAGTTTGAGCAGGAAGAAAGATAAGGAGGATGAAAAAGGTACAAGGAGGATGGAATGGGGAAAAATTTAGATGATCACAGATGTTGTTATTCCATCCCAAAGACAATAATATGCTTTGGTAGCTTTTCTAATTGTCAGTGTCAACCTCAGCACTGTTTGAGAAACATGGTAGAAAAACACAAAATAGAGGAAGGAGAAATAAGCAATAAAAAAACAACAATGCTTGTCACTCAAGCAAAAAAAAAATATCCCACATTGTGACATAACAATTTGAATGAAAATAGACTGACCCTCTTCCCTGGGGAATTTCTTGTATATATATGACTCATTCAAAATGACTCACAGAAGTCCACTCAAGTTCCCATTCCTGTAATTAACTCAGGAATGGGGAAGACCTGGAATTCGTTGCACTGGAGCCCTTGGGCGAATACCTCTTCCCCTCACACGCTCAAAGAAGGTTTCTGTAGAATTTTGTAGACAAGAGAAAGAGACAAACAAGATGATATGCATGAATTCCAACATATTGAAATAATATATGCAAAATATGGCAGAGTGAGACTCCTGAACAGTGGAAGCCTAAATGTCTATGCAGAAGAATCTTTCCAAAGGGTGCAATAACATTTTTGAATGACAAGTATACAAAGTGCAATCCTAATCCTGGTTCAGATTTTTGCTAGTCTCATAGGCTCACTTTATGGTGAGGATGCATACTTTTATTATACTTCATATACAATACAAGCAACAGGATTTAAGGGCAAATGCTGAAAAGGCTCTCAGTCTAATGGGTCTCTATTTCTGCAACTTTGCATGCTATGACAATGTTAATGGCATTCCTACATCATAACTACACTTTCCCTTTTTCTTATTATATATTATTATTGCATTTAGCAATTATAGAGAAATTATTGTTCTTATTGGTAAAACAGTTTGCCATTTCCCTCATGAACATTAATTCTATTACACCAGAAGCCCACTTACAAGACTTCATCCAAGGCATCTCTTTGTTTCTTCATTTTATCCTTCCTTTCTTTCACAGAAATAGAGTTTCACATTTCCTTTAATCCACAAAAATGGAAAATAAATGTTCCACATGAAAATGAGTTTCACAGTGGTAAATGTCCAATAATAATACAAATTTTTGGACTTGAATGCAAGCAGAACCTAAAGGAAGAGGATCCCACTCTTCAATGAAAACAGGAGAGAACACACTGAAATTTGAGATAAAAGAGTGGAGAATCACATTACATGTCAATGGAAATCTGCAAATGTTAGTTTTTCAAACATCTCCAGTCACATATGTGCATCTAAGGCTAAAACAAGTTTTCTAGCTATGTCAGTGGTGCCTGTATTATAGCAGACTAATTATAGCACATAGGGGTTAATCCCATTTACCACTTTTAATGCACTTCTCTAGGAAGAGAATCCTTAAGACTAAAAACAGACACCTTTCCAGCAATAAACAGGCATCCAAATTGTTTCTCACTCCTTCATTAGTCTTGCTAAGTGGAGAGATGATGTGGAAGACAAAAAAAGACTCACCTAGGGTATTGGAAGTACTGGAAGGATCAGCCACAGATCCAGGCAAGTGAGAGGCTTCGGGTGGAGGATGCGAAGATGCAGCTCCCCCCCTATCAAGTGGGGTGATAACCGGTGTTGGCTTACGGACATGATCCCTCGAGGAGGAAATCATACCTCTTCCCCTTCCCATTAAGAGATTTGGTAGCCATACATCAGGCCCTCCTAGAATAAGGATGATGCATTCATTATATGCACCAGAAACCACAGACACAAGAAAAGTCTTCATTTAACTCTTCAGTGTTTCATTGGAGAACAGTACAAACCCCAGCCCATTCATGGTGACACCAACATTTGACAGATTTTACTGCAGGCATGGCAAAGGGGAAAAAATTGAAAGTGATCCATAACTGCCATTTTCATAATTGATAAATTGGTCCATATCAGTGACCAGGTAAAATTTTACATTCAATATGTTCTTATTCATAGTTACAATACATTGACTGTCATCAGTAACAGCAGGCCTATATTGAATGGCACATTAAATTCCTGGATGAGTATCTTAGGATCTGTCTACATTAAGGACTACCAGCAGAAGCTCTTGGGTAGGATGTAGTCCTCAAAGGTTGAGAGTGGGGCTCTTACATGAGCCAAGATCTAAGCAGCTATGAAACATGAGCATTCCATGAACATATCAGCTGGGGTTGAGATTAAAAAAAGACAGCTTTTGTTCTCTTGACAGAAGCTGCATTTTGTCTGCACCAAATTGTGATAGTGCATCAAAACCTCCTTTTCCAGGAGAATTACACAAAGGTCAAGTATTCCTAAGAGAGTTTCCAATCTTGAACAATGAGGATTGCTTACTTTATATTACAACCTTAATTTTACTATCCTTTGCAATGCTTGACAAATATCACATTTCAATATAAATAGGTTGAAATACTCAAAATCTGCCTGAATCCTTTAAATATGAGATGTTTCTGACCCTACCCTCCATTCAAAGCTGCATCAGTATTGTCTAAGATGAGACCTCTGCTGCAGATTATGGCAGATAAAGAAGTTGCTTACCATCACTTAAATGAGGAGAGTTGGAAGCTCCATCTTCACTAGCATCTAACTTCTTAGAAACTGCTGAAGCACTACTGGCCGGAAACTCATCCATTCCAGCAGAGGATGTGATATTCAGTGAGCTACCATCCACTCTAACCACACCGGCAACATCATTCACTGCAATGCCTTCACCCTCAGATCCCTGAGATGTTCTTCCTGCAGCACTGTCAACACATGAGACTCCAGCTCCCTTGCACCCCTCAGTTCCACCAATCAGGCCAGGTCTCTTTAGATGGTCAGAACTGCTATCTCCAGTTGAGGACCATCCATTCCAATCTTCCACTTTGAGATTCTCCTTTTTGATCCCCAACATCTTAGGGCTTCCTTCTGCATGAAAAAAGGGAGATACAATGGAAAACGTGAGAGGGTAGGCCTAGTCTAGCATGCATCATCCACTGGATCAAGAATCAGTGGACTCCCTAAAGCAAACATTGGAACACATCAAAACAGCAAAATGGCAGATTGCACTCTTGTTGGGTGTCACTCAGATGATTCTCTAAATATCATGAACAGTCACTGATGAAGGAAAGGGGAATATGTACCAGATTTATTCAGTTGCTTTATCCATTTTCACAAGGAGTATATATGGGAATAAAGTAATCTCCATTAAAAAACGGATTCCCATAAAAGACCATTATATATTTAGATATGTTTAAGTTATATCAGTTTGCAAGTTACATCAATCTGGTGCATGTCAACTCATATGTTTGCTGACACTATTTCTCTCAAGTTTGGTGTCTTTTTGGGGGCTGCCTAGTGATCCTAACTTAAGAGGGTTCCCTCTTTGGCTGCTAGGCCCTGCTTTCAAGGTGAGGTAATTCTTCTGCAAAACTCTCCAGAGATGGCATCCTGCAGCTAGCTCATTTCTAACCATTCATATTCTCATTCAAGTGCTGAATAAACAGGTAGAAGAAGAGTGGATAAAATGGAATTGAATTAGAAAGATATATTATAAATTTTTTTTACTTCCATTTCCTCAATTAATGAATTTTACACAAACTTTATTTTAATTGGCTAAATCTGTGAAATCTTGTTATTTCTCTTTCACTAAAAAGACATCAAAGGGTCTTCCTGTACTCTATAAAACATGAACTGACCCCATTGACTCCAAAGAGCACACACAACCTCAAATCTGACACAATTAACAATAGTCAAAACACCTTTTTCCAGTCTTGTTATATTGTCAATCCTCATTTTAAGAAAGACAAGACTCACCCTGGGCAACCCTGAATGCATGTGCAGGAGTGTACTCAGAATGTGGCTCCCGTGGCAAAATCTGCCCCAAGGGAACTTTTTTACTTCTTCCTCGACCAACACTCATAGGAGGATCTTCCTCATCTGAATCCCCTTCATCACTGGACTCTGAATGCTTGCTGTCTGGCTTGATAGGGTTCCGCCACACAGCTCTACAGAAGTTCAAAGTCTTGCATGATTTCTACCCATGAATCCCCAAGTTTTATCAACAACAATCTCAGCAGCACTTTGGGAGACATGAAATCAAGCATATGGTGATCTAGTAGTTGCTCTGGTGAGCAAATATTCAGTTCTCTTGAAGGCAAAATCTTCTGAACCAATCATAACATATGAGACATGAGGTAGCAATTAATTGGTGTTCCAGAGTAAGCTTTTTGGAGTTTTTGTGCAGTGAGCTTCCAGCGTGGGTAGAACTAATGAGCACTTTTAGTGAGGTATTAAACCAATCCCAGTAAAAGCATGTTTAGACTTGTCTTAGCAGAAGAGTATGACCATTTATGATTAATAAGGCTGAACAAATAACAGTGAGAGCCAAAAATTGACAAAATATCAAATGGACACCCAAGAGCAAAAACTATTGGACTGACATCAACAAACAAGGAAGCATTAGTTCTTGGGTCATAAATCCTGAGCTAGTACTGCCATGACTAAAAAGTTTTTAGGAAATTGTGAATTAATCAGAATAGATTTGGTATGTCTAAACTACATTCTCTATAGTTTTGAACATAAATTTTTTTTCTGTGCTCAAGACATGACTCTCTTTCCTTCTATATTCCCACTCAAAATTCACTTCACTTGCCTGGACAGGAACCTGAAGTTGAAGGTTGGGAAACTTTTTCCTTTGAAGGAGACCCACCCATATAAAGGTTAGATTCATCCGGACACCAACATAATTGTTTGCATTTTTCAGCTGTGCACTCACCTTCCTGAGCTGCTTGCAGGCATATCCCAAGCTTCATGTGATTTGATGGGTTCATATAGGCCTACATATGGTGGAACCACTGTACAACCCAAACCCCTCTGCTTTGCTGAAAATAGGATGAAAATAAAGAGTCTTAAGATCATTTTCAGTGCAAAAAATACTCTAAGTGAAAGTTAGAGCTTCAGTTACACTGTAGCCAGTGACTGTCTTAAAATAATTCCAGAGAAAAATTTAGATTCAATCTGTCATCTGAAAATTGACTCCATGTCGTTATCATTGTATCGTCAAGAGCAGATACATGACTCTAAAATGTGTGTTAGTGTAAATTTATTAATACAACCTTTGCAATCCTAGGAAAGAGAATGCTCCCACATGCTTAATCATGACAGATATAGGCCTAGGTTAATCAATGGCTCATTGCCATGACACCTAAAATGATCCATGGATATTCATTCTTTCCAATGATGAATATACTTAACCATCATTCAGTGATAAGAAAACAGGTTCTCTTTGACTATCAATACTTTTTATAAGCACGATGGCATAGATATTAGAAGCATCACATTTGACAATGGCTATATTCAGCTACTGAACCCTAATGGATAATTGAATACTAAAGATAAAGCAGGGTCACAATCCAATGAGTTGAAGGTTATATTGAAGGTGGTGAACTACTGATTATAGTTACCATGCATATATACTCTCCATATGTATAGGATGATGGAACTCTCCAACTTCAAATGCAAATTTTTTGCAACTAAGCAATGAGACCAGAGCCCAATAGGTGGCTCTAAAAAAAATTGAAAAAAAGAGAACTGAAAGAGAGGTAGTGAACACTTTTGCTTGGGCATGAGCAACATGAAACAGAAAAAGAAGCACAAGAAGACTTACGCAGTTTAGAGGAATCCACAATCCTGCGGTCAGGACAATTCTCTAAGTGTTCCTGGACCTCTTCCGGCTTTATTCGATGCTGGGCATTGAATGGGCATTCTTCAAGAACCACAGGAGATTTCTAAAACACAATTAAAATCAACTAACTTCAAAGGTCATTCCAGCTACTTTGAGTGACAAAGTGACAAAATGATGGACTCTCAACTGGATGATTCAGAGTTCATGCATAAATGTCAGTGGCTCTTGAAGAAACTATCAGAAGTTAACTCATCCTAAAGCAGGGAAAGTTATGCAAATGAAGATGATACCTGTTAAAGTTTGAGCAAATCAAATTCACAAAATTGAATATAAAATTTGAAATGATAAAAATAAAGAAAACTCTGACAAAGTAGTGCAGTCAATGAGATAGGCACCCAATTAATGACTGACTCTACCACACATAATTTGGTCAAGTCTGACAAGTCCAACAGTTTCAAACTCAAGTATAGAAATTTAAGATATTTTATGCACATGGAGGACAAGGAACTCCAGAGAGAGGATAGAGCATGTATTTAAAAAATAGTAGCTCCCCAGAACTTCTTCCCATAAATAAATGTCAATTCACAGCAAATGCACCATTTATTAAAATTCTGTTCCTCCCTATATTAAATGATAGAATTGCTATAAAAATAAGTTTGAGACTCCTGAAATGATGATGAATCACTAGATGCCATCAGAAACTTGTACCCAAACCCAAGATATTGATATCTCCTGGTTCCTCCATTACAAATTGAGAAGTATGTGAGAAGTAAACCATATGATGCCCTGCCACATGATTGGCATGATTAAATTCTTGTTATGTTGAAGACATGCAAGATTTCATGCCTATTACATACTTTTAACCACCTTCCTTGCCATACCAAAGAGTCTGAAAAATTAATTTACAGGGTGGGTGGGAAATCCTTTTACTCCAGATATTAGAAGTCCAGAGGGTCTGTGTGAGCCCCATTGATGTCACAACAGAGGATGATATGCTGCCATGTCCATGGAGACACATTCAGAATTGCAGGTGTGATTTTTGGAAATGCTTCATGAACAGCATCTCTCAATATCTCTGTTGTTCAGTAGCACTATTTGGCCACAATTTATTTTATGTATCCCCACAGTGATTACTACAGCACAAGGTAAAGGGACTTCCCTTCCACTCTGGACACCATGACTCACAACAGTTGAAAATAATCACACTGAATCACACTTTGCAAGTGCTTTTAAAGCCCATATTGAGCTCCAATATTTCAATTAGACCAAATTTTTATGATGAACTGGCGATGAGTACAATATATAAAGAAAAAGAACTGGAGGCTCAAGGCAAAAGTCAGACAAACTCGGCGAGTGTAGGCAGGCTTAATCCAGCTACTTTATTGTTGAAGCAATATGGCAAGCTGACCTAACCTAAAACTTCATTAATGATGTACCTATAAGCCAATATCTTTCTCCTTTTTATATACGCATGAAAAAAATACGATGGACTCACCTCTCCACACTTAATCAAGTGAACCAAGTACCTCCGAGCACTGACAACATGATGTGGATCATAGGGACAAACACGGAAGTCATCGCTGGACATGCTCCTGGTCCCAGAGGTTTGAACAGTCCAAATCGCCGGCTACTTCTAGCTAACACCGTGAGAAATGAGAATGAAGATAAGACCTGCTTCGCGAGTAAGAGGAGGTGAAGTAAGGAAATCTGGCTGCATGGGTCGGGGCCTCAGCGTGGCGCCATCTTGTCAGTGTTGCCAAAAGTTTATCCGGAAATTCGAAGGCATTGCTCACTGGTTAAGCTTGCGTTTGCTTTTACTCTAAGCGCTAACCTTGCCAAAATCGCTAGATTATCGGGGCTCCTTAGTAACTGCAGCAGAGTTCAGCAAATTGAAATCGCGATATGAAGGTCAAAAGTTACATGTTGGTAGCATTTTACGACGTTATACGGGAAGGTACCCGAGACATAGAAAAAACATTCGTATCCAGGGCCGGATTAAGGGCTAGCTAATTTCTTTTGCCTTTGTCATTTCAAATTTTATATTAGGGGTGGGGGGGGGGGGGGGGGAGCCCCAGGAATTCATTTGCCTCGGGACTCGCAACTTCTTAAATCCGGCCCTGTTCATATCCCATGTTTCTGGAAGGTACCCCAAGAGGTACCTGGTGTAGTACCTCCAAAAGTTTAATGGGGAGATGCGCTGATATCCGGAGAGATCCATAAATAATACTTCACTTTCTGCTACTCTCTACATCTACTATATGCATAATTTATATAATGACAAAGGCAAAAGACGCCCCTATGTTTATCCACCGGATTTTTTTTTTTGACAGATGAGGCAGCGCTCAAGATCGACAGACTCGTAAACAAGCATATAACACTGTTCACTGGAGTGACGCTAACCACCCTAACATAACAATTGAAGAAGAAATTGAATGGGCCAGGTGTCTCGCGAGCTGCAGCGGAATAATCGGCCCCTTTCTTCCTCGATGACACACGGGGAAGATCGCTCGAATGTGATTGGGAAAACTTTTTGTGGCGGGAATCCTGTCGCCACCTGGATCATTTGGCAATCGTTCATGTTTGTGTATTTGTGCAACTCTGCTCTGGAAAAATGTGCATTTCGATATTTCTTTAGTTTCCAATACCTGTATTAAGTGTAGTAATAAAAGTCATTTAAAAGCGCTATTGATGGGCCACTCTTCATATAAGACTGACATTAAAGGTACATCTCGTACCATCTCCCCATAAAACTTTTGGATGGATTCTGTCGTATCGCGTAGAATTAAATATAAACGTATACCACATGCTAAGCTATGAAATATTCTCGGTAAACACGAAGCATTCGACAGGCCATGCCAATAAATCAAGCCAATCTCTGATTTCACTTAGCCAAAAGCCATTTGAGATTCAACAAATCGCAATATTCTTCCAAACCAAATGGGCATATTCATTCAATTGCTTTCTTTTTTTCTTTTTTTTTTCCAATGAGCCACTCGCCTGCAAAGACGCTGATGGGATTCACGCTTAATCGCTCTCCTTCACGCACGTTGATGCTCTGTCATTATTCTGCCTTAATGGCGAAAGCATGAAGATCGCTGGATTAAGAAGGTCTTATCCGGACGAATCACTCTGGATACGCCACCAGCGTGACCATGACCGTCGGGGACTCGGCCGCTCGGCATACTGTGGCATCTGCTCTTCACGCTGAGTTTAATAGCACTATTGAGATATATAGTTGTATCAGATCTGCTGCCCCGTCCTGGTGTCTTGACGAGGGTGAATGTCAATGAGGCATAATTTTTTTTTTACGTTCAAAAAAAGAAATCACGAAGTACTGGAATTAACGCCTTTCAGACAAGCGGAAAGTCGACTTGTTTCAGGCGGTCTCTATTGTTGGCGTACAGCGACGCGTTCACTTTCCAACAATCTTGCAGCGACGCTTTATTCTCCCTGCCGCAGTGGGCACGAGCGAGGGTGTGTCATCCATCACTTCAGTCATTATTCTTTTCTGTTTCATCAAGAGCCATGTTTTCCTGCATCAATTCTGGACTTCCACACTCTTCTAAAGTGAAAGTCCTTGGTAAAAGGGAGTTTGAGCAACAGTAAGGTTACAGGACACTGTTCTACAGTGATTTACATATGGATTCGTACCGTCTTTCACATCGTGCAATGCTGTTTCTATGAATCTTCCAAGGAAATCAAGTTTATCTCCCGTGATAAAAATGACACTAGGCCTATGAAGCCCATGTTAAACGTGTCACGAATTCCTTTGTAAATCACTGTGGGCGCAAAAGTCAGACAAACGCTTTGGGCACTTCCAGCAGCATAAGCGCTGCGGACTCGGCAGGGGATTCGGATTGGGATTCGGCAGGGGAATCGGCAGGTGAGTCAGCAGGGGATTCGGCAGCGGATTCGGTGGAGTTCGTCGCCCAGGCGGAAGTGAAACAGCTTTGCGTTGCAAAAATATTACGAAGGCAGACTTTCTCAAGGATTTGTTTGTGGTTTTCTCCACGAGGGAAACAAAAGTCTTGACATATCTGGGACGAAGCGTCGGCAAAGTTGAATGCATCCGGTCTGTGGTTCTTGCATGACAGTACGTTGTGATAGGCCTGTAATAGCCAGGAGAATATAATAATAAATTATAATAAATTACGGGGGATTTTGAGAATTTTGCGTTTCAAGCCTAGAATAAAAATAAAACCAAATGAGCTAGGAAGCGATCGGTAGACGGAAGCAGGAAGAAAATAAAAACCGACATTCTCGCCTGCCTTCTCCTCGCAATCCAGCGATCCAAAACATTCGTTCTGCTTCGGTCACATTCGAGCCCGAAACTACACCGTGCCAAAAGGCGTTTCTCGCCCTAACATCACCTGTCCCTGCCCTTCTCACTCGCAAATAGCAATCTGACGTGCCCACGTCGAACGCTTCTATTTTTAAAGGTGAAGGAATCCTAAACGCAGCGAAGGGAGTTTTTCATCACGAGCTCCTCTTAGTACTTTTATATACTTAGTACTTATCCATTACCCATTTCGTTTAGAAAATCCAGCGGAGCCGCCGAAGCGAATCAGAAATTCCAGTCCGTCAATTAACTAATTCCCAGAAGCAACCAACGATGATTTTTGAATCTCGCAATTCCCGACCCTTCAAAGCCCCAGCGAGACCCCTCCATCCCCACCAAATCCTCCCACCCTACCACGAAGCCAGCACCAAGAACCTCCAGAAGAATCCCGGGCACGCGCTGTAGAAAAATGGGCGGAGCCTCGACCCCCCCCCCCCTATACCCCCCCTCAGGGGGGGGGGAGGCAGGGAGACTTCGAGACCATGTGCTCAGCATGCCCACTCTCGCGCTGACCACCAGCCCGACATGTGCATCCTCGCCGCCCCGCAGCCTGTGCGAAACTAGGCTGACTCACGGGGAAAGTTCCTCTTCGCTGACTCCATATGTCACTGCAGTGCTTCGTCCCGCTGGCTCGAGTGAGCATGATCCGATTCCTTCTCTTCGTCGTCCTCAACGGTGAGTTCATCATCTTCATTTATT